ATGAAATTTAGAAAGTTATTTCTAAATTTGGGGAGAGAGTCAGGATATGCTAGTTTCAAAAGCTCAACCTCAGTTTTAAATGATACTTTACTATTCTTTATCATTTTTAACCATTTTTTACTTTCTTATCATTAGGTTTGTTATTGTCTATTTTTGAAGATTGTAATGCTTGGGTGTATACTAATGTCTGTTCTATTGCCATGGGCAGGTTTGAAATGAACTTGAAGTGTTTTTTTTTTTCAGAAGAGGACATCTCTTCATGTTTTGTTTTCAGTTGTATGATATTGTCATGATTTTTATCTAAATTTTTATCCACATTTCAATGCAATGTTTGTGTTGTTTCACTTCATTAACATGGTTTCTAAATTTTTGGAGATATTGTTTCTTAAGGCATAATCTAATTTTTTTTATTACAGTTAATTCGAGTTCTCTGGATAGAAACTAGACAGGGGCCAGTTTTTTTGAAATCTAATAGACTGGGTTGCATTACTCTGTAAGGTTGAATTTTAAGTTTTATAATCAGTATTTTTCAAAATATTGTTGCTAAAGAATCTTCCTTCTAAAGAGAAAATTCCTTCAAGTTTTAGCCACATCAGATTTTTCATCAAGTATAGTAAACTGCATGTGTAAATGGATGGTAGAACAAGGACTGGAAAGGATAGTAAAATGATAAATATTGCTAAGAGTTACAAAGGATAGGAAGCTGTGAAGAGATATAATCACCTACATCCTGAAGGGACACAATACATAGAAGAATCAATAGTTTGTGGGCATAGTTCTATATGTAAAGCATTGAAATAAACAGTGTGTGTGCAATATATGGTTAATTTCTAATGCTAGGAAAGTGAATATAAAGAGATCCTGTCAGAGTTAAAAATAGTAATGACAATTTCTTACTGAGGAAATAATACAAAGAGAGTGATTTATTAAAGAGCTCATTCACATATCTGCTTTCATTTATTTTGGTTTGTTTTGTTTTATAGCATATCAACCTCAATGGGTTATTTAATGCCAAAAAGATTTTTATTGCTGGTAATATTTGTTTTTTCAAAAATGTATTGTTGGTAATATTTTTTTTCAAAAATATATTCCTGATAAAATTTTCCTTTTTTTTTTCAAAAATGTATTGCTGGTAATTTTTTTTTTTTTTATTGCTGGCAATATATTTTTTTTTTTCAAAAATTTATTGCTGGCAATATTTTTTTCAAAAAATATATTGCTGGTATTAAAACCAATTTTTATACTTTCATAGTGTTTTGATCCTTTTCACAGGGTTAACTATTTGCCCATAGATGTGACAGGTGCTACCTCCCCAAGTCAGGATGGAGCTGAGAATTAAGAGGTGGTTCCATGCTCCTCAAAACCGTCTGATCAAAGGACTTGCTCTCGGATGTAGTTTATCGTCATACCCAGGATGCATATCTGCTTTCATCTTATTAATTGTGGTATGCTAGTGAAAAAACATGAGACTCTGTGCAGAGTCATCTCAGCAAAGCATTAATGTAAAGTTAACATAAAATTTCAAATGGTTTTCAGAACATCCAGCATCTTCAGAGATATTAAATGGCTGATAAGCTAATCACCAACAGAAGAAGATTGAAGCCTTAAAGAGAGATTTTTTTTTTCATTTGATGCTCAAACAATTTTTGTAATTGATTTTCTCAGTTTTCTGATTTATTTTTCTCTAAGAAGCAAGAAATTGTATACCATTGTAAATGATGAAGCTGTAAGATTAATGCCACTGCACTAAGTAACCGCACCAGCAGATATTGTCAATGGAAGACAAAATGTTGTTGTCAGCAATCCATTCCGAAATTCTACAGTTTGTTTGAACCTTCTTTTAATCAGGCACCAGTCTTAGAACTTTTAATTCCTGGAAAAATATATATCTTCCTATGAAAATTCACAGAACTCATTTAATAAAAATACAGGCCACAAGGTTGAAGCTATTCTGTCAGAGAATTTGAAACAAAAGGAGTATTAATTTGGTTTTATGCAAAAATACAACTAATCTTAAATAAAAATTTTAAAACTTCAAAATAGCATTTTCAAATAACACATTTTAAAATGCAATTCTAGATTCATAGCTTCTCCATACTTTTGCTGTAAATATTTTCATGGTAATTGTTCTGATGACCTTTCCTCTTTGACAGCTCAAATTCACAAATTGAATTCCAGTTCTAGATTGGCAGCTAGGTCTCATTATTTTAACTTTTGAAATTGCCCATACACTAAAGTTTTTTCTCTTCCACATCTCACTTTTAGAACTGTTTTCTGGCTGCTGACCTATAAACAAAGGTCTTCAAAAATGTAAATGCTATACCAACTGCCTGTTTTTATATGGTCCTTTTATTGCTCTTTCTCTCAGTTTCCTTCCCTCTCAGTAACCGCTTGCATCTTAGTGCCTTTTTTGTCTTGCTTGGGGTGAAATGATTCAACAAAAAGAGATTGATTGCTGAAAGAATTTTTCTTTGTATAGAGATTATTAATTTGTAAGAAGCTATAATAATGAACCTCACCAAACTTAATTTTGAGTCCTGTTTTCTCTCTATGATATAGATCTGGGGTTGCCAAACCACAGCTGACAAGTGACATGTGAATCTATTACCTTTAATGTGTGGAAATATTTTGGCAGAGCTTTTTTTCATCACAGGTAATATAAATTCCTTAAAATTCATTACCGTATTAAATATGCTCAATTTGGTTAAAACAATCATCAGTCAAGATTTTTAAAACATTTGGTATATATATATATTTATAATTATTTTTTAAAACATATGATTCTTTCGCTACATAAGAGTTCTCATGTTTCAAAAATGAGAGCTGAAAACCTCAATATAATTATTAAAATTAAATTGAATTAAAGTATCAAGCCCTGTTTCATCCTCAATTTAGGAATAACCATTCTTGAAATTTACGCATATTTATAAGCATGTTCATTTGCAAAATTAATTACTATGGAAACAACTGGGGTGACCATTTTGATAAGAGGCCTAAGAGTTAATTTTTATCCACATATCAGTCACCTTTGGAAAGCGGTCAAGCTGAGGTAGGGTCAGGGTGCCCATTTCAAAGCGAATGACGGCATTCATGTATGCACATTGTCTGGTCAGTTACTGCGAAAGATAGCTTTTGGCACCATAATATGTCATTAGGTGTCTAGAAAATTTTGTTTTATTTTATTTATTTATTTTTTATTTTATTTTCCTAAAGTGATGTTTCGTACACAAACGTGTCGCACTGAAATACAATTTGTTTTTTTGATGACTTCATAAAGAGTTTTTCTATTTTATGATTGGGCTAAGCTTTTAAACCTTTTATTAGACTATGATATTTAATTTTTTTTTTATGCTAATTATTTAATGCAAAAATTTGTTGATGTCGGCAAAAAACCGTTAACTCATGTCTATGTTTTAATAAATTTTCATTATTTAGAAACTTAATTCCTATTTTTCTACATATCTGCACACACACACACACACACACACACACACACACACACATATATATATATATATATATATAATTATTTAAAAAAAAAAAATTTATAACAAAAATATGTTATAAAATCAGTACAAAAATAGCCATTTTGTTTCAGCACTCTTGGTGTCTTATCAAGTGATGATGTTGAATGTAAAATAAATGGTTTTAAAAGTTTCAAATTAATTAACGATCATTCGCAAGGGGAAAATGCTGTTACGGAAGCTAGGATGATCAATCAAAATATAAGTATAGGAAAATTCAAAAAGCTTGACAACGAAGTCATGTTAGCTATTCAAATCTTTAAAATATAGGTAATATTAAAAAAGAATTTATTCTAACCAACAATTACTAAATTATATGATAAAATTTGATATTAAAATTAAAAACTGCCAATTTTAAATCCAAATTTAAACACTATTAAGTTTAAAAATTATAAAATTACTGAGGAGAAAAGAAGAAATACATATGTTATTCAATTTATTTCTTCGTTGAAATTATGCTAGAACAGACGCTACTTCATCTGGTCATCTGACAATATATATGTATACATTTTAATCCCAAGTGTGTGAATGGGGTCCTAAATTCATGCATCAAACAACACAAACACAATCAGATTATAATACATAAGCACCCAGACATATTTAGATATATATACACACACAAAAAGTGACGAGACAGTGAACATCTCCACGGCCCTTTATGAAAAAAAATAAAAGGGGGTGGGGAGCCAACTCCTACATACATACACAATTAAAGATAAAGTGATTTTATAACATATTTACGTTATAAATTTTTTTTTAATAATTATATCTGCTCTACTTTGTATTGAGCACTCTTTTAAGAACAGTTATTGTTGGTTATTGGAATTCATTCCGTATATACCAATTATATACTTGTATATATATATATATATATATATATATATATATATATATGTACTTTGTGATTACTAAGACCATTAGAAATTAACAGTTTAAAAAACTGCATACATGAATAAATATTATTGCCTACATGCATTTCTTAATATTTATATAAAAATTATGTAAAAAATATGTAGGTGACAAAAACGTACATGTAAATTTTGTTGATGTCTTGCGGCTCTCAAACATCTGAACTTTATCATAAGTGAGTCTTATATTAAGCAAGTTTGGCCACCCCTGATATAAGCTTACAAGTCCACAAAGAGGCTTTGTTGATTTTCTCTGTAGTTGGGCCTAAATCTAATTTTATGACTTTGGCACAGAATTAATTTGATGTCTATACAGTTTAATCCTTTTGTACATATAATATTGTGTTTTTATCCTAGAAATGTTCCCACTTTTTCTCACAAGATAAAATCAATCAAAAATATGACTAGTGTCATTCTACATTACATATTTAAAAGAAGGTCATTTTTATGAATTGCTGTAAATGTTTCTGTATTAATATATATTTTAATTATTATTTAATTAATATATATTTTAATTATTGTGAATATATTTATTGTTTTTTAGACTTTATATTTAGAGTTTTGTTGAATGAGTGTTTCTTACTTAAAATATTCTAGATCTTGTTTTGATGTCATCCTCTTTTTCACCTCTCATTACCTTTCTACTTTTTTTCCTCCCTATTCTTCTCTGTGCTTCCTTCACTCTATTTCTCTCAGCCTCACTCTCTTTTCTGTACCTCTCTGTTTCTCACTCCTTGCCATTTGTTCTACCTCCTTGCCTTTGTCTGTCTCTGTGAATTTCTCTCTCACATCTTCTCCGTCTCTGCCTTACTATATGCCTCACTATCTTCCTCCCTGTCTTATTCTTTCTCCCCTTCCGCTTTCCCTGCTTCTCTCTATCTCCCTCCCACTGTCTTTCTCTGTCACTTTCTATCTCTTCTATTCTCACGTACTGTATTGTTCCTTCTCATTCTACCTCTTACTGCATCTCTGTTTACATTCTGCTCTGCCTCCTATTCTCTATCTCTCTTTTACTTTCTCTCTCTACCTTCCTCTCTCTGTCTCCCTATGTCTGTGTCTCTCTGCTTTCCAATATGTGTCTCGTCCTCACCCACTTTCCTTGCCTCTCTTCTGCTCTAATTCCCATTTTCTGTTGTTCTTTGTTGCCTTATCTCTCTTTGCTTCACTCTATTCTACTTTGTCTCTTTTTCTCCATCTTGTTCCCTCTCCTATTCTACATTTCTCTATCACTCCCTGCCTCTCTCTGCCCCTCTCACTACCTTTCTTTCTCTTGCTCTTTTATAACTGAACATTTGAAGTTTTGCTCCCCTTTCAGATGAGAGGGATTTGTAGCATGAAACTGGATTTATTTATTTACAATAATGTTCACCCTGCCAAAGAGCCACTCAAGGTAGAGTTTGAGAGGATATGAAGGGACAATAATTCTAGATTTGAAAAGGTTTGTACAGATAAAACCAGCCTGTAAATCTATTTTTGATAAAGTTCAAACCTTCATTTTGTGTTATTAACCGTGTCAGCTCCCCTTTGGTATATAGGACAACAGTGTAGCCAGACCCGGTGTTGCTGCTGTGGTTTTCATGCCAAGTAGGGTTTTACAGGGTGGAATTGCTCACCCTATGATCAATCAGTTTTGAAATCAGAGTTGTTGTTATCCTAGTCTGGTTGCCAACCAAAGCTAGGGAGCCCAGTCTACCCTGCCATCAACACATAGGTGCAAGGGAAGAGAAGTAATCATGCCATTCTAAGGACATAGGTGTGAAAGTGAATGCAACAGCATCAGCTGGAATTTGAATTCAATTTGCCAATCCCACATCCATACAATCCTTCATTATCTATCTAAAAATTCTGTACAGCAAGAATCCTGAAAATAAATGTAAATTTTGTAAAAACAAAACTTGGAACTCAGCTGTTATCTAACAACATATTTGTTTATTCAAAATATAATTGACAAATAGTTCATTGGAAAATTTCTCAGGGAACACCATCATTATAGTTTAGTCACTGTGCTAAATTACTTTTCCAAAGGCTCTGATTGGGAGATTAGAATTTTTGAGGAGCATGGAAGCACCCCTTCATTGCTGTTGTTCCCGGATCCACCCTCACCTGGGTTGGTAGTACTAAACTATAATGATGGTGTTCCCTGAGAAATTTTCCAATGAACTATTTGTCAATTATGTTTTGAATAAACAAATATGTTGTTAGATAACAGCTGAGTTCCAATTTATTTTCAGGATAAGGTCTCAGCTATAAGAAAATAGTGAACCCCCAACAAATACAAAACACTATGGAAATATAAAAATACGTTTTTATAGTAAAAGTACCAGCAATACATTTATATAAAAAAATTACCAATGATACATATTTATAGTAAAATTACCAACAATACATTTTTAAGGCCAATAAAATTACCAACAATACATTTTTAAGGTCAATGATATATTTAATTTATCACTGGAGCCAAAAATTGTGATCAAAATATTTAGATTTTGGCATTAAATAACCCATAGAGCTTAATATGCTGCTAAACAAAATCAACCAACCATTCTATATTATATTTATACCTCAATTTTTCTAAAAGATATCTACTGTTTGAAAAGAAGCTGCCACAAGGCATATAAGAGAGTCCATTTAGATCATCTTTCAGTATAGGCTACTTTATTCTGTTCTCATTTTTTCATCTTCTTTAAAATTTTCCTAATATAGAGTTGCTTTTTCTACACTTACTTTTGTATATAAATGTTCATAAATACTTCAGTCCTCTTATATGGCAGTGAATGTGTGAAAATCTCGACACAGAAGAAGAAAAAACTTGAGTTAACATAAATATGCTTCTACAGAAGGATGCTGAGAATACCATAAACTGAACATATGAGTAATGAGCAAGATTTAAGGGTAATGAAAACTAAATGATGATTATACTTAGAATCATAAAGAGAGAGTTGAAATTTCTAGGACATAATGAGGATAAAGGGGTTGGAAAATATGACATTCACAGGACATACTGAAGGCAAGAGGGACAGAGGAAAACAGTGAGTAATGTATTTAATGACCTTGTCCAAATGGATGGCAGAACAGAGTGGCAGAGATGATAAAAAGACAAAACTTACTAAGAACTACAAAGTATAGGAAAATGTGGAGAATTATGATCACCCACATCTTGAAGAGACATGGCACATAGAAGAAGAGGTTTTGGAAAGAATTTTCCAAGTATATATTGCCAGAAAACCATTATCAAAAATGTAAACTAACTTTGAAAACTTCCAAAGTTGAAAATAAAGATACTTTTCCTCAAATAGAGATTAATCAAATATCATTTGAGTAGAAATTGGGAGTTGTAAATAGTAATAAAGAAAATAATAATAAAAGAAGAAAAAAGAAATAAACTTGTGCTCCGTACCCCTACCATTACCGTTGCCAGGCATAATAAAATAAAAGCATAGATGATCAAGATAGATTTGAGAACGAAGAAGAAAAGTCATATTTTTAGGAGGTTTCTGTAATAGAGAATCAAAGATAAAAACACTTCCTCATTTTCTCCGACTAAGACCTTTTGTGAGATAAACAACCACTATCTGTCGACTGAATGGACGATAGCCTCGCAAATCGCCAGCCATTTTATGCAGCTGAGAGAGACTTGATCCACACTGTCTTTAACTATCTCCTTTGCCAAAAATGTATTTCATTTTGTGTGTATCTTTCCCCACCAACGAAAGTGGTTTTTCGTTGTGAGAGAATTAAAGTCCATGGTGGTGGTGCCAACCATGGAGTAGAATGGAAAAACCTGTGGCTTACCATTGTAGAAAAAAGAAAGAAATAATGAAAAATAAACCAAAAAAAAAATCCTTTTCTAGATAACACTACGGGGATTGGATATGGGACGAAAGGGGCATCATATTTTTGGCCTTTCTTATAGCCTGGCATTCTTAGGATAAAATTCCTCAGCCTTTCCGTTCAGCTTATAAGTCATCTAGATAAAAGCACCATGGATGGAATTGAAGATCAGGTTGGTCATTGCATTGCTAATACAGCAGCAGCAGCAGCAACAACAAGGTAGGTGATTGCAATGCATGCTGGGAAAGAGAAGGATAACCTCAGATAATGCACATACCCTTAACAAAACATTTAGTGAACTGGATAACGGATGCAAAGAAATCACAATCCTTACATAATAGTGTCAACAAAGTGCAAAATGAATCCATAGAATTAGGATACATATATATGCACACACATATATAAACACTCACATACACACTATATATATATATATATATATATATATATATATATATATATATATATATATATATATATAGATAGATAGATAGATAGAATAGATATACATACAAATGAACAAACACAGATGTATACACATGACAACAAATATATATATATATATATATAATTTAATTTAAAGAAAAACAGACCACTTTAAGGTTCCATTGTTATAAGTTATTTCACTATTTATAATTTATTTCATCCTCCTTGGGATTATCCATATGGATTCCCAAGATTTTCATTACTTAAATATATATATATATATATATATATATATATATATATATACAAACATATAAATATCAATATATATTAATATAGACACAAAGATGTCTACATATATGTACACAAATATACATACATATATATGTATATATATATATACACATATATGCATATGCAATACACAAACAGATGCGTACAAATGCATATAATAATAGCTAGCCCTTCGCATTCGAGGATAACCGTCTACTAGGGCAGCTAGCTCAGGCACATTTGTATTTGTTCAACACCTACGGAGCTCACCTGTGGTTTATACTGCAACTATGCTGAGCAGACCTTAGTTACAGTTCCTGGGAGAGAGCATGTTATCTAGCATGATCGACTATTTGAACAAGGCCAGCACATTCAAGCCCTCGGCCACAATGTCTTGTAACTTTTTGCTAGCACAGATATCAATGGACCCCAAGAGTTCCGTCTACCCAATTTCACTCACAAATCCATGGTATGGTTTTCAGGCACTTTCCAAAAGATGCTACACACTGGGATTGACTTCGATCCATCCTGATGAAAATGCATATACATACATGTATACGTATATAAATATGTGTACATGTATATAAATACACACACACACACACACACACACATATATATATATATATATATATATATGTACATGCAGATGCACACACATACACACACAAAGACACACACACACACACATATATGTATTATCCCTCACTGGTCGCACGACTAAGAGTTTCATTCACATCACAGACATCATGTGTTAAGTATAGACTGACTGTTGCGTAATTCAAATTTTAATAAAAATATGCCTGCATGTAACCATTAGTTCGTTTCTCTTGTTTAATAAGCTAGCGTTATTTAAGTGTTTTACGATAACTAATTCTTAAACAAGGAATAAATTATTAAACAAGAGAAATGAACTGATGGTCACATGTCGAAATATGTTGATCCAGATTTATTTTTAATGAAAATTTCTTTGTTTATAAAAAGAACCAGTAATCTCCCTTTATGTTTAATAAAAAAAAAATAATATTCACAAATCTAAAATTTAGTGATCGCTTATCCTTTGAATTTAGCTCAACTTTCGTTTCATCAGAGAAGAGAACATTTAGTAAAAAGAAATCAAGTGAGTCACTTTTATTGAGCAGCACTATATATATATATATATATATATATATATATATATATATATATATATATATATATATATATATATATATATATATATATATATATATATATATATATATATGTATATATTTATTAAATAAGAATGAAGACATCCTTCCTTGCCCTTTCTCTGACCAATTCTAATTGTTTTATTACCCCTTTTACCACAAGTCCAAGAAAACTTTTGGATTACTACTTCACAAAAAGACAATGGTTAAACATCAAAAAATATAAGGAAAATTAATTGCCTTTAATAATATGCGGAAATATCCATTGTTTGCGTGATGAAGGTCATGAGACCAGAAATACCTGTAGCAAAAATATGGAAAACAAAGTATAAGATATATTTTAAAAAATCCACATCACGTTTTTGTTTTCTTTCTTCTTTTTAAAATATATACTTTTCTCTTGTTGGAACAACCATAACTTCTTCCTATATATATATATATATATATATATATATATATATATATATATATATATATTATTGTGAGAGTCACCGTTTACAAGGCCTAACGGCCACTCGAGGTAGAGGGATACATTAGGAGACCATTTGTGTATATTGTGAACACATGATATTCGCCAAAACTATTT